GTCTGAGAATGTCATTTCTTGCCATCCAGAGGTTCGTCCTTTAAAAAATCTCATTTGGGAGGGGAAACACCCTAAAACCCTTCCCCCAGCTTGGGCCTACGAGCTCAAGTGGTGATTCGCTCAAGTCCCCCCCCCCCAAAAAAAAATATAGGGCCGGATGCCAGTCAATTCGAGCGGATGTCAGTTCAAGCGGATGCCAGTTCGAGCAGGTGTCAGTTCGAGCAGATGCCAGTTCGAGCGGATGCATTTAGTGCGAACTACAACAAGGGTGAATTTATGGTTGCCCTATTTTTGTATTTGTTTTAAATGCAAAAAATGCTCTGTGCACTGAAGTTCTGAAATGTTTTTGGTACTTTTTGATAATTATTCCATGTTTGAATTACAGTCTTGGCAAATCCAACTAAAAAATTTGGGTGGGGGCGCGACTGGGGGCGAGTAATTTCCGTAGGGGCGTTCACCCCCCCCATCCACCACCACTAGATACGCCAGTGTCTGGTTACCAAGCAAAGCCTGAGCCTCGACCGAATGCAGATTGTTAGCTCAAAATAGGAAATTTTGAAGTAATTCGTACACAACTCGCAGAGGCTGTTGTTCCCACAAGTGAATCTTTTCTCCGCTCGAACTAGCATCAGCTCAAATAAATTCCACTCCAATCCGCTCGAACTGGCATTTGCTCGAAGTGGCATCCGCTCAGATTGACTGGTTCCCGTTTAGCGAACCCGCCGCCCGCCAATAGGGATGATTTTGAATAAAATAAAATTTCTATTTTTTGGCAAGTTAGCACACCCGCTCCCATGAAAAAATGAAAATTTGAGAAAAAAATAAAATTTTTTATATAGGCCTATTCTTATTTGGCCTAGTTGTATTGTTGATTATTGTTTCAACTTTTGTTAATGTTTGTTTACTTTTTAATATAGCTTGTTTTATTGTTATTTTTGATGCAATTCAGGTTAATGCTGCAGTGTCAAATATTGTCATTTGAAAATGTCAAAATGAAATTAAATTTGAATGTAAAAATTAAAATTGTTATTTTTCGTACATTATTCATATTTTAGACACTCACAATGCCAGCTAAGAAGGAAGCAGTAGCCCTTCAGAAAGAACTGTTAAATCAAGAGCAGTGGGATGAGATGTTAGCTGTGGAAGGCTTAACAGGTTTGTAAATCAATGTATGGATTAATCAGGATGCACTTACAAACTTAATGTTAATGAGAGGGTGGTTGGGCATTATCAGACTTTTTTTTCACACCCTTGAAAAATGTACATTTTATGTACCCACATTGTAATCTATTTTTAGATATATAAGGATACCTTTGTGAAAGCATTTTTGCGTAGTTTGGTGTCCCAACCTCAAAGTTTTATCCTTGAATGAGGGGTTTGGCTTGTGGTTGGAGATCCGTAGCCCTAGAATTCAGAGATGGCGCCAGGATTTGACCGACGGGGGAGGGGGGTGATGCCCCGACGAGGGGTAAGATTTTCCCGACGAAACCAAAGTGGGCGTGGTCAAGCTTCGATTAAAAGGTTTTGACAATCTAGGGGTTTCAAAGGCTTATTTAATCGATTTTAGAGTCTACTAATATGTAGAAAATACGTATAATTTTTTTTTCTCCCCAACGAATTGTGCTTTTTCTCCCCAACAGGGGGCCAGCTCTCCCCGAAGGTGGGGCCCTGGCCCCCCGCTGGCGCCATCCCTGCTAGAATTGTGTCCTATGGTTGTCTCTCTCCACCCAAGAGCACAACACAAAATGTGATAGTTACAGCTGCAACATTATTGAATTCTACCCATGGAAGTGAGTATGTGTTCCATGTGCTTGATCATGCTTTGTATTCTGCTTGTGTTCTTGAGCAAGGGACTATCTGTTCTGCATTGCTTCTCTCCACCCTGCAGTATAAATAGGTACCTGGTTGGGTTGCCTTCTACTGCCCTCATATGACAATTACACTTTATGTGCATGTGAACCCAATGACCATATTATTCTGCTATACAAGCAACAACAGTTAAAGAACTTTTGTGAAATAGGTGGCTGGAAATGTAACCAGTAGGCAGTGTTTATTCAGACATAATTAATGCAAATTTCACTGAAATTGGTCTTATTTTCCAAATTTACTAGTCAATATTTCTAATCTGAAGTACTGTTCGTGTATAAATCAAATAAACTTTAAACTAAATATGTATCTTTCAGTTATTGACATTTATCAAAAATGGTGTGGACCATGCAAGGCGGTGCAGGGACTATTCCGACGCCTAAAGAATGAAATTGGTGACGATTTACTACATTATGCCACAGTAAGTTTCTTTTAATCAGTGATAATGTTAACACTTTGACTGCCAGTCCTTTTTAGTGACAGCAATGCTGTCTGCTAGACATTTTAGCCAATTTGACCAAGTTGCCAGTTGACATGAGAACACATGTATAATATACAGATATAGAATGTTCTTCACCCCAAAATAAAGAGTAATTCATGAGCTTTAAAAATATCATACATTTTATTCATGCAATAAACTATTGCCACACAAATTTGAATAGAAACATGTAACTTTTTTACAATTTCGCACTTCTTAGGCAATAAAGCTGAGAAAACAACATTTTAGTTTCACAACTACTGAACACTAAAAACCAACAGCTAGACACAAGAATCCGACTCTTCTTTCTTTAGCATATTAGTTATTTATACATACATGAATCCATCATAATGAAATTATAAATCCCACAAATGGATGAGGTTCACTGATGAGCCCTGGGGCTAGGCCTACTACACAGACGTGTCACTTGCGCTACTATATTAGGCCTAGGCTAGGCTTGTCAACTTCACTACTGCCGTCTGTACTTTTATACATTTCTATAAATCTGTACTCAATATATTACATAAAATATTTTATTACTTTAGACATATGCAATCCGAATCTGCAAATATTTCTGCAATAATTCGTCTGTTGAAAACTTATGACAATTGCGATCCATGCTCTTCGTGTTACTCGCATCGCGGAAATGCATGCACTTCAAGCAAACACACTCTAAGCATGTTGTGGGGGAGGGGGGAGTGGGAACACAAATTTATTGCTGAAATTTCTACCACAGGTCCACAACTTCTACATCTATCGGATTGTACAATAATGCTCAAAAGACGGAGATCTCCATCTTTGGCAGTCAAAGTGTTAAAATAATAATAATTATGTACTAATATTGGAATGTATAGAGCGTCAATCAAACGACCAAGGTGCTTTATCAAAGGCACTGTGCATGTTAATGATGGAAACTGTGAGTTTAAAGTAATTTTGTTATTGAAGCAACAGAAGAACAGTTTTTAAGGTGTGCAATTAAGGAATTGATACTAATTGAATAATTGTTAAGTTTAATGTTTTTTGTTAAATGTATGCATTTGTTTGCATACTGTATGTAGCTCACCATGTTGGTGGCAATGGTTTTTAAAAAAAACATGCAACTCCTCGACACACAAACCATACTTTTTAATTTGTATATAACAAAATTAACTAGAGCAGTCGTGGAGAGGTTATCTCCAGTGTGTGCCTGAATACTAATCACTAATTCTACACAAGTCATTAACATATATTATGAAAAGTAACGGTCCCAAGACCGACCCTTGTGGCACCCCACAAGTTACATCCCTCGTCGATGATTTACATGATCCAACAGAAACAAATTGTTTACGATTATTCAAATAACTTATAAACCATTTTAAAGCAATACCTCTAATACCATATCTAAAAAGTTTTGAAATTAAAATTTCGTGATTAACAACATCAAAAGCTTTTGATAAATCTAAAAATAAACTTAATAGAAATCGTTTATTTTCAAATGATTTAGTAATGTTATTAACGAGTTCAAGTATTGCATGACAGGTTGAGTGATTCTGACGAAATCCATATTGATGGTCATTTAAGATGTTAAATTGATTTAAATAATTAAATAGTCTTTTATGCATAAGTTTTTCAACTATTTTTGAAAAGATAGGTAGAATGGATATTGGTCTATAATTTGATAGTGAATCAGTGTCGCCTTTCTTAAATACGGGAATGACTTTGGCCATTTTTAAAGTATTTGGAACTGTACCAGATGAAAAAGATGAGTTAATGGCGAATGTTAGTTGTGTAATGATGATTTGGGATACACATTTTAGGGTCCTAGGAGATAAGTGGTCATAGCCAGCACCTTTGTTAGTATCTATATCATGAATTACATCTTCTAAATCAATAAACTGTTATCCCTGTCTCTTATACACATCTAGATGTGTATAAGAGACAGATATACATATATACATACATATATATATATCAAATAATTATAATCATATATATTTTTTTTTAATAGTGAATATAATAATAATGATAACCCCTTCAACCTTAGCCCATGTACTTGCACTATCCCTGTTTAAAAAATATCATTGATCCAAAATTTTAAATAGTGTTTACAGTACTTGTATTGGAAAGAGATTAATGTTATAAATTGATAATTTTTCCATTTCATAAAAAACGTTATATTATTTCTATGGTTAGATGTAGATGAGATTGCAGATGACATCAGTATGAGGCCTGTTAGTGAAGGCAAAGTCAGGAGGTTTTTTGAAGCAGAAGGTTCAGGTAGAGCTAGATAATAGATCAGGCAAACACTGCATATTTAGACACAACATGTTTAGATTTAAAATCAGGTTATTAAACACAAAACGTTTACACAAAATGTTTAGACTATAGATTAGGTTAACACAACATGTTTAGTAGTAAGAATTATTGACCGGATATACAGTATACATGATTTATAGTGCAGTAGCATACACTAAGGTTTATGTTGTGTCATTGCACTTAGACCCTCCATACCTCCAAATCCACCCTATGTATTTTGTGTTTATACCTGATAATGTGTTCTTGAAATAGTTTTACATATTTAATGTATATGTATAGAAATATGCCTTCCAGTGGCTAACAACATTAAAAAAGATAGTGTAAAACCAGTTTTTTATATTACAGTATTTATTTGCATGCGCATCAGAATGGTTTATCTGCATGCTACTTTTGATTTTTTGTACAATTTGTCTCCAAGAAATATCCTTACAATTGCTTAGCCAGCCTTTAGTTATTTTAAACAACATAATATTATATACAGTATTAGGTGCATAAATTTAACTCCACAAACCTTATTTAGCTCTAGTGCCATAGTTTTCATTTATTACCAACAAAATCCAATAAAAAGGTATAATATATTTGTTATCTTTATATTAATTTGAATAAATTTGCAATTTTAGAACCAGTTCCCAAACAAGTCACCATTGTGCTCATCAAACCTGATGCAGTAAAGGCAGAAAAAACTCAAGAGATTGTTGAGAAGGTAATGTATTTTAATTAATAGTTAAAAATGGATAAAAAATGTGTTACTACATACATTGAGTCTCATTTTGAGACAATGTCCTCACAAAACTGAAAAACCACATCACACATCACTCAAGAACACAAGGGACTTCCCGTGGATACACTCCACAAAGACAATTTTTTTTTTGCTTTTACTTAAAGATTAATTCTCAAGGAATGGAGATATTAGTCCAGGAAGAAAGGACCTTAACAGAAGATGAAGCGAAGGAGTTCTACAAGGAGCAAGAAGGGGAAGATCATTTTGAAGACCTTGTGAAGTTTATGGCAAGTGGGCCTAGCGTTATCATGGTTCTTACAAAGGGAGACACAGGTGAAGGTGTTGTGGAAGAGGTACGCGGGGTGATTGGTCCTAAGGATGTCGAAGTTGCAAAGACAGATGCTCCCGAAAGGTTCGTATCGACTCAATTCAAAAACTCTGGACATGGAATTTTATGCTGTTACTATATCACCAGTGGCATATCTAGGAGTGCACAGTGGCACATCTGTCTCTGCACATCCCCCCCCCCCAAAAAAAAAAAAGCTTGCAACACCAGTTGCTCTCCCCTCCCCCCATTGAAAATGGAAGAACCAAAAAAAATCATGCTTAAGTAGTTAAAATTATCATCCAATATCAATTCGAGCTTGTTTTTCAAAACTATTAGAACGTGTAGTATATACCATTTCCTTAACTATCTTGAGACAAACAACTTTTTATCACATAAGCAGTACTGTTTTAGGCAAAACCGCTCCACTGACCTACCCCTAATTGAAATAGTAGGCAGGATTACTGCAGCAATAGATTAATAAATGAGTATACAATAGGAATATACTTGGATCCATCTAAAGTATTCGATACGCTTGATCATGATACTTTGTTAACAAAATTAAGCTTGTATGTTATACGGGGTAATGTACTTCAATGGTTTATAAGCTATCTTCATTACAGAAAGCAGTTAACCGTATTTAAAAGCATTGAGTCAGATCGCCAATACGTTGTGGTGTTCCTCAACGGTTTGATCTTGTTACCACTAGTATTTATTGTGTATATGAATGACCTTTGCTATGTTTCAAAAGATGTTTTTATTGACCTTTTTGCCGACCATACAAGCCTCTTTTACACAAATACGGATATTAATCAAGCTATAAATGTTATTAATAACAAGCTCTGTAAGATATCACGCTGGTGTAGGACTAATAAACTTTCATTAAATATCAAAAAAACTAATTACGTAATTTTTCGTAGTAAAAGAAAACAAATTCAACAAAATTAATATACAAATAGTTAGAAATTGCATCGAGTAAGTCTGTTATACAAAATTCCTTGGTGTAATAATTGAAGAACACTTAAATTGGGAAAAAGATATAAAACAAGTTTGCTGAAAGACTATACCAACAATTAGACTTCTTTGGTAGACTAAAGCATTTCCTTTATAATGCAACATGACTTACCATAATCACTTATTTTAATTATTGTACTATTGTCTGGGAAACGCCCACCCAACATCAATAAATGTAATATTGAAGTTACAAAAAAATGCTATGCGTATTGTTGGAATAATGGAAGTCATTACAATGCACATGCCTCCCACTCTTCAGACATGCTTGGGGCTGTCTCTGATATTTTTGGACTACAAAACTTAATGTTCACCTATTAATCACTGAATAGAATTTTACGGTCAACTCGTCGAGTATATTCTGGAACGCAATTTGGCCAAAATTATGTATGCAGAGAAAGTAGGACGCCAGGTAGGACAGTCACCCAAGAGTGATTCCGTTCTAGCGTCGCATCGTTGCTCAAATCGAAGGCTCCCTATTATTGCGACAATGTACTGTTTGATGGGTTGGCCAGTATCAATGGAATGAACTTTGCGAACAGTATAAACAAGTTTCAAGCATATCACTATTTCAAAAAATGATGATTGTATCTATTAAAATCATATGTTTATAATTTAATAAATTAATAAATAAATCAAACATAATTTCTGTTACATGCTGTATTATCATTTGCCTAAAAGAAATGTAATTTATCTATTATTTATTATTATAATGTAATTTATGTGTTTTGTATTTTATTTTAATGTTTCTGTAAATTTTTGAGATTGTATTGGTACCTAATGCACAAGCTTTTGTACGGAAGCACCTAAGTGCCATTCGACTTGACGACTTGTCAAGATAATTTATGTTGTCTATCTCGCCATGACAACATACAACTTTTACTATGTCGACTTGCCAAGATAATCTTACTCGCCATGACAACATATAATTTTTACTATGTCGACTTGTCAAGATAATCTATCTCGCCATGACAACATACAATTTTTACTGTGTCGACTTGTCAAGATAATCTATCTCGCCATGACAACATACAATTTTTACTATGTCGACTTGTCAAGATAATCTATTTCGCCATGACAACATACAATTTTTATTATGTCGACTTGTCAAGATAACCTATCTTGCCATGACAACATACAACTTATATTATGTCAACTTGTCAAGATAATCTATCTTGACATGACAACATACAACTTGTATTATGTCGACTTGTCAATGTAATCTATCTCGCCATGACAGCATACAATATGGATTATGTCGACTTGTCAAGATAATCTATCTCGCCATGACAACATAACATTTTTACTATGTCGACTTGTCAAGATAATTTATCTCACCATGACAACATACAACTTTTATTATGTCGANNNAGATAACCTATCTCGTCATGACAACAAAACATTTTTAGTATGTCGACTTGTCAAGATAATCTATCTCGCCATGTCGACATGATATGTATATTATGTCGACTTGACAACATAATTATCTTGACAAGTCGGCACTTAGGTGCTTTCGTACTTTTGCATTATTTTAGGCCCCCACTTTTTATTATTGTTACTAATTTTTATTTTATGATTTGGTGGAATGAAGAATTGAGAATTGAGAGGGAATTAAATTCCAAATGATGAATCTCTGTGTCATTTTTGTCGACTTATCCACATGTGTTTTTCGTTATAGTTTGCGAGCCATATTTGGTACAGACAAGACAATGAATGCCTTACATGGTGCTGACTCAACAGAAAGAGCAGCTAGGTATACCTACTATTGTATTCTGTTATTATCACTTACATATTATTTAATTCTTTATTATTAATTATTAGTATTAATAAAAATTATATTGTCAGTGATAATAATGATAGGTATAATGCTTATGATAGTGATAATGTTAATTATCATGATAATAAAATAATGTTCAGTGTATTAATATTAAATAATGAATAGGGTGGATCTCTGTTAAGTATATCAAAACTTACCTTTGTACTACAGTACTCAGAATGTACCATAAATAATAATAATGACTTATAAAGTGCATAATTGTTTCCAAATGACAGAACAGCACCTTTGATTTTTACTTTGGTTGAGTGATATTGGTGCTTTATAAATGATTATTATTATTATTCTTATTATTATTATTATTATTCTTATTATTATTATTATTATTATTATTATTCTTATTATATTATTCTTATTATTATTATTCTTATTGTTATTATTATTATTATTATTATTATTATTATTATTATTATTATTATTGTTATTATTATATTGTGGGGACCTATGTGCTTAAAATGTATGAACAAAAATGGACCAAGAACATAATAATTAATCTAACCCTAAAGAAATGCTAATCCTACTCCTTAAAATAAGCGTGGGCTGTTGACTCCGTGGAGCTCATCTGCAATAATAGAAGATAATTATTGAATACAGTAGAACCGCTTCTTTAGGACACTCCTATTATGGGGACACCCTATTTAGGGGACACTATTTGTCTAGACGGTGTTCCTGTATTTAAAGATGTATTGTCCCTTGCTAAGTACCAAAAAAATCATAAAAATATTTTTTGAAATTAACTTGCCCATTTTGAAGTAACATAAAAGTTATCAACTTGAACATAGAAATTAGTGTATTTAAAAATTGTCTACCCATACAGCGAAAAATGATAGAAACACTTCCAGTCACTGGGAGTGTTTTATTATTTTTATTATAAAGTTAATAATTTGTATGCTATTGCAATATGGGCAAGTTTATTTCAAAATTATTTTTTATGATTTTTTTGACATTAGCAAGGGAAAATACATCTTTAAGATTATTGATGATGGCATTTTACAAACTTTAAAAGCTTCCGTTAACTTCCATGGTGGTGACTTGAAAAGTTTTTTTTTTGTTTTTTTTTGTGAATGAATGACTTTTAATTCCATTAAAGTTTTGTTTGCCTATAATTGCTGCCCACCTTTATAAGATATCAGTGAATTTACATTTTGTTTTTATAGAATATTTGATGCTTTCATAGAAATAAACAAAGCTATATATATATATTTTTTTTTTAATATCTAGAGAATTATCATTCTTCTTCCCATCGTTTGTGGTACCCAACGTACCTGGAACCGGACCACCACCAAAAATAGAGAAAACTCTTGCCCTTATTAGACC